CCGGGCTCCTCTCCTGGTCCGCCACGGGGATGGATTTTTTTGCTTACAGGTAGATGGAACTACAGTGGACTCCCGATAATTCGAACCTTCAAGGGAAATACAACAGAGTTCGAGTTATCGAGGGTAAAATTATATGGAAAATGACCTGAAGGGAAATGAAAATTACTTCGAGTCAACGGGAAGTTTGAGTTATGGAGGGTTCGAGTTACCGGGAGTCGACTGTATTACTATATTGGGGGATTTATAAGCTGGGGGGAGGGGCGTTCTAAACGGAAGCTAAGGTTACCGTAGTCGACTTTCGTTTTCAGATGTCGTTCGCGAAGTATAACCCAGAAATTTGAGAGATTTCCAGTTCTGTTATTACCTGTTCTAATCACTGTGTCCTTGAAAGTAGCAGGAGTTTCAGGAATCGAGGTAATTTTATGACATATTTTTGTATGATCGCCAGTTTGCCGAATGCTATTTTATGAGATGTAGCCACTGTGCCGAGTTTTATCTCGCTCTACTAATTCCTTTGGGTTAATTGTCTCGCTCGACTAATTCCTTTCGGTTAACTGTCTACTATCGGGTGAGTTCAATCGAGTACCCTTTCCAAAAACACGCAAAAAAATCAAAGGACATCTTATAATTTGGAACTGGAAAGCCCTTTTTTCTATGTGACCGCTCGTAAAATGGGTTTTAGGTTTGTTAAACTGAGGTTGTTTGCTTAATCAACCAACCGTGGAATCTAATTTTAACCATCATTGAAGATGGACTTTCTGCCTGCTACAACAATTCGCTGATTTTCAGCAAACACTTGTTCTTTTCCTTCTTGACGAGTTATTATATGCTGCCGTCCGCAGTCCTTTACCTTATTTCTTAACTTTCAAGAAAAAGTATTATAGGACGTACCGCAAAAAGCGTGATGCCCGCAATAATATAATTCGTTGTAGGTATTCTTAATAGACGTTGTTCAATTTTAATGTCATTTCTAATCAGTTAGCCAAAGTTTTGGAAAGAAAAAGTTAAATTGTGTTTAATTTCTCAACAGGAACAGTGTTTTGTACGAGAAATAGACACAAACAAAAAGATATAATGAAAACAATGAAAACATTCGTAAAATACCCTGAAAATACAGGCGTTCATAATTTGTAGGATTGTATTTCGCCATGGACGAAGACAAGAAAAGTATAGATTGCAAAATTTAGGCTTAGCGGGGGCTGAAGAGGAATATAATGAGTAAAGAATAACGAAAATTTTCGACTTGAATTGAACTTACATGCTGTTGTAACAAAAGTCTTGGGAATAATGGAATAATAAAACCAAGTATACTTTTCACGGTCGACTGAAAATCGGCTTGTGGAGTTGAGTGAAGGTCAAAGAAATCCTTGTTGTGCAATAGAGTGTAAAAAATTGTGATGTTGTAATGTGTACTGTTCAGTCACCCCAACTTCCGCTTGCGTGCAGGCCAACTTGTGCGAGTTCGGGGAACAGTTTTGGCGGCGGAGCCGTCAACACAAGCCGGCGAGAGGATTGGGGCAAGGAAAGTGGTTCTCCTCCCACGCAGAAGTTTTTGTCAGTCGTGACCAGGCAAAAACCGTTGCGTGGGAGACACCGTGTAAGCTCTCCTGTATGTGGACATAATATGACTTAAAGGTTAATATTTAAGTAACTTGTATTGCTTCCCGGCTTTTCCAGCTGTTAGCAATTGTTCTACAAGTTCCGTTCCAAACTCGACCTCAGTGCTCACGATGATTGTTGGCGTAAGCTCTGGGAAACTCTGCGCCAGCGTAGCCATAATCTGGCTAATTGGGCCTCACAGCGCATGCTCATTTATCCAACCACAACTTTTTGCTTCTTCTATATCTACGTCATCGCGAAAGCTTTGTACTGCTTCAGAATAAAAACTGATTAGAAGAAATTAACGGAGCCCTTGAAGAATTTTCAGGTATCCAAGCCTCTTGTGAGAAAATACCGTTTACTTTAATGATCACAGATTTTAGACTTGAAATTTGCATATGGTCTACAGTTGATTAAATATTTGCGTGGACTACTTCGCGTGGCGGTAAGTGAAACCCGAATGGCTTGTTAAGAAACACGTATGATAATTCCATTAAACTTTCGAAAATATGAATTTAGCGTGTCCTTTTGTTTATATTTGTTCATGAACATTTTAAAAACGCTTCAGAAAAGCTACTTTGAAATGCGATATTGTGGAATAAAAGATACTAGACAACTTTAAATATCTAGTCACATTGTACACGCATCACTTTAGGGAACGATTCACTTTTTCTGTTTACTTTTCTCTTGCAAGTCTGATTTTTGGGCAATTTACGACATGAAGTTTTCATTCATACTCGGCTTCTTCGAGTGAAAAGATAAGGTGGAAATCGAAAAAAAATCAGTTATGTGTCATGAAGATGATGTACAAATTTAAATGAAGATATGAGCGTCGCAGTGGTAATTGCAATTTAACGCACTAGCCATGGGTTCGAATCCCGTTGAAGTCCCGAAATTTTTTTCGGGTTCATTTTCAATTACCACTGCGACAATCATAACTTCATTTAAATTTGTGTTTCCGCAGTTCACATCATCTTTGTGTTTCATTCCTTTCACGGGTTGAGATGAACTCGACAAAATGGGCTGCTCCCAATGTATGGGTCTTCATAGCTCAATTGGTGGAGCACTGCAGCCCTAACGCCGAGGCGATGGTTCGAATCCAGTTGAAGTCCCGAAATTGTTTTTCGGGTTAATTTGCAATTACTTAAATTGCAATTACCAGTGCGACGATCATATGTTCATTTAAACTAGTTAACACTGTCAAACGGCAGGGCTATCAGAGTTATAGACGACACTTAAACCTTCCTGGCTTGTCAGTAAAAAGAAAAAAATGCAGGCAGCTGCCTCACCAAATCAGGCTCTTAAAATTCGATCTGAATTACTAAAATTGATCCGGGATTCAAGGAAATGGTTTCCAGAATAAAAGGAAAGATATTTTAGCAACTATAAATTTTTGTGAACTAAGACAGGAGCCCAACACTACTAAGATTGGTTTTTATTTTAACAGCAAATTTAATTCTACGCTGGGATGGCCCTGCAGCCTTACCGAGACGAGGATTTAAATTTTTTCAAATTCGCGTCTCTTGTGTTGAATGAATTTCCAAACGCCCTGAGACAGACATTTAAAACCATGTGGGACAACACCTATGGGCATCGCCCTGGTTTCCAGCTCTGGGATGATTCCACTGCCGCGAGAAAGTTGTTTTCCTCTACAGAAGGTGGCAGAACCAGAGTTCCTATTCATCGATCATATCTCGAATGGGATTGCACTGCTTTGTTTCAGGCCACTATCTACTCGCGAGCGTTCGCCGTACATCACAGAACGCTAAATGACGTGTATGTTAAGCCCCGTGGATTATCACATGGCCATTTTCACCCGTCCGTAATGAGCACGACTAGAAACAATGCGGAAACCTGTGCATTAGCGATTGATCAGTTACGCCTTCTGAGGAATTCCGTTTGCCACTCAACAAGTTCTGAGATGACAAAAGTAACCTTTAGCCAATACGTGAAACACGCCAAAGACGCGTTCCAAGCGCTGGGTGTCTCGACGGCTCCAATTGATGCTGTTGGTAGTTTATTAGAGTCAGAATTTCCCACAAGTAAAGTCCGCAGACTTGAGCAGGCTATCAATGAAGAGAATAAATCGTACATAAAATTTCTTGAGGGTGTGAATTCAGACATTGCAGAGTTGAAGAAGAAAGTGGAAAGTGATATTGCTAGCAAAGAAGACGTCGCCATGTTGGCACGAAAAATAGATGAACTCAAAGCTATGCAAGACTTCAGTGATAACAAAGAGGACATTAGTATGTTGGTGAGGAAAGAAGGTGAGTTAAAAAGCTAGTGTAAAAAAAAAATGCGCAACTCAATTAACAAAGCTTATCGAGCTAATCTGCCCAGTTGAAAATGTAACTGAAATCCTAAGCAAAATATTTTAACCACCTCCAAAACTCTAAATTTGATTGTATTGGACTTGGAAGAAATCCACCTCTAATCGGCTCTTGCCAAGGTTTGTCAGCAATTTACCGATTTCACTAGATACAAAGCCGTGCAGCGAGGGTCTTAATCGAGGTCGGAGAAATATATAGCTCGTGAGTCATTTGTTTGAGATTCCCAGCGGTAGCTTTTGTCCGCTGCTGAATATTACTTTGCACATCGAGTTACCGGCTATATCTGCGCTATACATGGTCAATTTGAATTCCCTATAATTTCGTCATCAGTAAGGTTAATTACTTCTTGTTATGCCTCCCTGACGTTGTTGCTATACCGGCGGTTCCATAAAAGATAAAAAATCTCAAAACAGAAATGAAGGGTATGCATCCCAAACTCTGTGCCAGAAAGCCCAGACACTCCAGGGGCCGGTTTACCTTCCTCCAATTCCGCCAGGATCATTACATCGCTACTTTTTCCAGTACACTTGTATCGAATAACTCAACTAAAAAATTTGTTCTCATTACCCAAATATCTGATATTCAGTTGCTTTTTTCTCCTTTAAGATATCCCAATATCACCACCGCAATCAAAGTTAAAGGTTGGCAATCGTTTTGTTGTAAACAGTTGTAAACTGGGAATCGAGAAACGTAAGAATTACGATCTCCAATCAGCTCTTCAAGCTCATCAGCGTACCCTGGAAATACGTATTAAACTGTTTGGGGAAAAACACCAAAGTACGGCTGACTGTTACTACGAACTGGGGATAACACAGGATGAACTAGGTGACTTCGAAGCAGCTCTGCAGTCTTACCAGCGTGCGCTGGAAATACGTATTAAACTGTCTGGAGAAGAACACCAAAGTACGGCTGACTGTTACTACTCACTGGGGATAACACAGTATAAACTAGGTGATTTCAAAGCAGCTCTTCAATCTCACCAGCGTGCCCTGGACATACGTATTAAACTGTCTGGAGAAGAGCACCAAAGTACTGCTAACTGTTACTGCGAACTGGGGAAAACACAGCATAAGATGGGTGATTTCAGAGCAACTCTGCAGTCAAAACAGCGTGCGCTGGATATACCTATTAAGCTTTTTGGAGAAGAACACCAAAGTATTGCTGACTCTTACTACTCACTGGGGATAACACAGCATGAACTAGGTGATTTCAGAGCAACTCTGGAGTCAAAACAGCGTGCGCTGGACATACGTATTAAACTTTTTGGAGAAGAACACCAAAGTACTGCTGACTCTTACTATTCACTGGGGATAACACAGCATATACTAGGTGATTTCAAAGCAGCTCTTCAATCTCACCAGCGTGCGCTGGATATACGAATTAAACTATTTAAAGAAGAACACCAAAGTACTGCTGACTCCTACCACTCACTGGGGATGACACAGCATGAACTAGGTGATTTCAAAGCAGCTCTGCATTCAAAACAGCGTGCGCTGGATATACCTATTAAACTTTTTGGAGAAGAACACCAAAGTACTGCTGACTCTTACCACTCACTGGGGATGACACAACATGAACTAGGTGATTTCAAAGCAGCTCTTCAATCTCACCAGCGTGAACTGGACATACGTATTAAACTGTTTGGAGAAAAACACCAAAGTACTGCTGACTGTTACTACTTACTGGGGATAACACAGCGTAAGCTGGGTGATTTCAAAGCAGCCCTTCACTCTCTCCAGCGTGCGCTGGACATAGGTATTAAATTGTTTGGAGAAGAACACCAAAGTACTGCTGACCCTTACCACTCACTGGGGATAACACAGCATGAACTAGGTGATTTCAAAGCAGCTCTGCAGTCAAAACAGCGTGCGCTGGATATACGTATTAAACTGTTTGGAGAAGAACACCAAACTACGGCTTACTGTTACTACAAACTGGGGAAGACACAGCATAAGATGTGTGATTTCAAAGCAGCTCTTCAATCTCACCAGCGTGCGCTGGATATACGAATTAAACTATTTAAAGAAGAACACCAAAGTACTGCTGACTCTTACCACTCACTGGGGATGACACAGCATGAGCTAGGTGATTTCAAAGCAGCTCTGCATTCAAAACAGCGTGCGCTGGATATACGTATTAAACTGTTTGGAGAAGAACACCAAAGTACTACTGACTCTTACCACTCACTGGGGATGACACAACATGAACTAGGTGATTTCAAAGCAGCTCTTCAATCTCACCAGCGTGCACTGCATATACTTATTAACCTCTTTGGAGAAGAACACCAAAGTACTGCTTTCTCTTACCACTCACTGGGGATCATACAGCATGAACTAGGTGTTCAGGGCGTGAACTAGGTGTGCAGCTCTTTAATATAATCTTTCCAGCGTGCGCTGGACATACGTACTAAACTGTTTGGAGAAAAACACCAAAATACTGCTGAGCTGTTACTACTTACTGGGTATAACACAGCGTAAGCTGGGAGATTTCAAAGCAGCTCTTCAATCTCTCCAGCGTGCGCTGGACATAGGTATTAAACTGTTTGGAGAAGAACATCAAAGTACTGCTGACCCTTACCACCTAGTTCATGCTGTGTTATCCCCAGTGAAGGGGATTTCAAAGCATCTCTTCAAAATCATCAGCGTGCCCTGTGCATACGTATTAAACTGTTCGGAAAAGATCATGAAAGCACTGCTGCCAGTAACCGGGAAGTGAGGAAAACGCAGCGCGTATTGGATGGCTTGAAAGAGGGGCATAAGTATTCAGCTCACTGGACTTGCAAATTACTCTTTTGGACCAATTGGTATGGTACACTTGAATAAATAGGGTATGAAATATAGTATAAGTTCGCTGTTGTTAAGAAGAATTTTAGTTAATTTTGTTGGTTAACTTATTTACCAATTACGTATTCACTCTTAATGGAGTATTGCAGACTGCTTTAAATAATAAAAATTACCACAATGAATACAACAATAACATAAAATTACTGATTTGCCGAATTGCCTGAATGAACATGACGAAGTAGAGGCTACAATTTCTGGTGGGAGATTGTTCCACTGTAAAGTTGTCCTAGGGTAAAAAGAGTTCTTATAATAATCACATGTACAACGTGGCTGTTCAAATCGATGACTGAGAGACGAGAGCCTGGTGTCCATTCTGCTCTTATGTTCTCTCTGAAGCTTGTCGCATTCGT